CCATCTATTCCGACTAAGTTCCCACAGACAATGCCAAACTGTAGGTGTTGAAATTTGACCTCACAACCAATTAAATCTCGTCTCTGAGATTCAGGGAACAAAGCCGAAAAGTATGTGGCAGGATAGAGAAGCCCAACACCTACACACAAGAAGACAATAGGACGGGTGGTTCGTCCACCCAGGAGAACTCCAACAATCAAGTCAGCAAACTTATCTCTCAGATATCAACTCAATCACAAAACTCACAAAGTAAAATTGTACCTTAGACCCACATGGGTGCCTTTCTTTATATAGTGGTCACTGCCCTACTTCCCGTAGAAGTCCTACTTCCCCTTAGAAGTCTTACTTCATGGAACTATATCCCTTATAAGGATATCACTTATTTGAGACTCCTCCTATTTAGATTAGAATCAACTCTCTCAAGAGTCCATCCTTACCCAAACAGGTAGCCTGATATCAACTAGGACTCTCAGTCCTCATATGCTTGTCTCAGATTCTAACATAGATGCCCTACTTCCCATAGAAGTCCTACTTCCCCTTAAAAGTCTTACTTCATGGAACTATATCCCTTATAAGGATATCACTTACCTGAGACTCCTACTATTTAGATTAGAATCAACTCTCTCAAGAGTCCATCCTTACCCAAACAAGTAGTCTAATATCAACAAAGACTCTCAGTCCTCATACGCTTATCTCAGACTCTAACATAAGCCCATCGCATCTCGGCAACCTGAATTACCCACGTGACACCTCGACTAACAACCTAAGCCACGTGGACAGCCCTAAAAATATGTCCCCGTAGGGTTTATGAGAGCACCTACCTCCATCACTACCTACACTCTTCATAACCCTCAAAACGGCAACTTTTGGTGGCAACTATTCAACAGTACACACTTCTCTGACAATGGCGATGAGTGAAAAAAATTTCGGCACCCCAATTCCACAAGATGAACGGAGCATTAGAATATAAGCTCAAAGGAGGTTCATAACTTGGATGATATTCGCAACTCGGAAGAGGTTGACCTTGTAATGATAAGTTTTTTAAAAAATACAAAAAGAAATGATAAAAAACTATTTAACTTTTTTTTGGTACTGAACTCTCGAACATATGCTAGAAAAATGGAAACACAGGGTTGAATTAAAAGCATTAGTTCGACAACGTCTAACCAAACATTATTCATATATTCAACACTTTGGACCTGAACTTTTTTATTCATATGTTTCGCACTTTGGATAAGAACTTTTTTATTCATATGTTCGACACTTTGAATGTAATCTTAATGTATACTTATGTTTTGGTTATGCGATGAACTTTAGTTTTATATATTAATCAAACAAGTTGATGCATACTTATTTTTGTTTGATAAACTTTGATGGGTCAAACTTGTTCACAGTCACATGACTTTATGTTTTTATAATATTCAGTCACGCAAGTCTGAACATGTACAAATTATTCAGTAACACAAGTCTAAACATAGTTAATTTGTTCGGAAACACAGGTCCAAACATGATCAAAGATGGAGAGAGGTCGGTGGAGAGAGATCAACGACAAAAAGAGGTCAGCAGTGAGAGATCATCTGTAAGAGAAATCGACGGCGGAAATAGGTCGAATGTAAGAGTTCACCTATGACAAAGATCGATGACAAAACTCTGTCAACGGTGAGAGGAAACTTGAGTTCAACAGTTGCCAGTGAGAAAAAGCTTGAATTTAATGGTGAGAAGGGTTTTTAAAAGCAAAAATGCTTGGGACCTCCAAAGTTGGGGACCCCCACGACCCCCAAAATGATGTGGACAAATCATGTATTTTTGTTTTTTTTTTTTTTTGTCTTTCCTTCCTAAACCAATCACAGGTGAGTGAGGGTTCTATTTTTTGGAGTCTGTAGTATTGTTGTTTTAAGAGGTATGCTAAGGGGTGTGCATTTTGGTCGGCTTGATGATTTTAAAAAGACACTTTTGATATTATTTGGGCGGCTCCTCAAAAATTTTTACGATTTTGAATTTTGTAGATGGGAAACACTCATAGAAATTATGTATAAATTTTTTATTTTGTATATCATCACTCAAACACTTTTATTAAAATAAAAACATATTTTTTTTTTACTCTTCTACCTATTTTAAAGACACTTTTCAGTCCAATCCCTCTACTAAGCAATACCCTACAAGCATTTGTTAGGATTTGCCTTTATTATTGAGTAGTTTTACAATGGGACACTTTTTCATAAATCTCTTTTTATTTACTTATGTTTTATTTAGTTCATATTATTTTTTTAAATTTCAATAAGTCCTATGAGTGACATAACTATCAAAATATCCCTAATAATATTCACATTTACAGTGTGAATATTTCATGATGTGAATGTTCATCGTAATGTGAACATTCACACGTCAATGTGAATATTCACATTGTAAAATATGAATGTTCACATCACCAAATTGCTAACCGTTCTAAAAATATAAGGGTAGAAATGTCCATAAAAAACTTTAAATATGAGAATTAGAATTTGGTAGATCAAATATTCAAATAATAGAACTTATTGAAATACAAAAATATCTTATGGATTTATTTGGACACAAACACTTGAAAAATGATATTCTAATAAATCTCCCTTTTACAATTCCAGGGAGAAAAAAAAAATTCAAAATTTTGTTCAAAATTTGTAATCAATGGCCAAAATTAATTCATGTTGTGGTCTCACATCACAAATTTTAGGCATACACCGTTGATCTACAAATTTGGGTAATTTTATGAACACTTTTTTTAGTGCCTAGACTCTCTTATTATTCAAATATTTCAATATTTTTTGAATTTGTATACAGCTACTTTATAATTATATTCATGCATAAAAAATGAATATTATTTAGGATTCAACAACTTTCAAGATTCATTAAATATAATAAACATTATTAAAACATCATTTTTTCGTAATAATTTGAAGCCAAAAAAATTATGTTGCCTATTGAGATCATGCTAGTTTGTTTGTACCCCTCACCCAGGACTTTTAAATACATATATTTGTGGGTGTATATATATATAATTTTATCCAAGTTCTACGTTAATCCTTCATATTTTAATTGTAACCATTTTTTTAAAAAAAAATTAACTCTTAGTTCAATGTGATTATTCTATCACCCAATTCATAAAATTTGAACAAATAAATTTTACATTTTACCTTTACACTTCCGTCCAAATTTTTCGATGATCTACACTAAAACATTCTGATGCTATCCTCGCATGAGCAATTTATGTCTGAATTTTAAGGGGTAGATGGAGAAAGAGCTACACTAAACCACAAGAGTGTTTTTTAAAACATAGAACTGCATCATTATATTAAAGCAAAAGGCAAAATACAAGAGAGAGCAATTACAACAATACAATAATCAAGAAAAAAAAAATGTGCCAAATAAACATAAAAAAAATAATAATAATAAATAAAAGCTTTAGAACCCACATACTCTAATCCATGATTAATGGAGAGATGCAATTAGCAACATGTACGAGCATCAACATTATGAACACAAAAACAAAGGACCAAACCATACCTCGAAAATCAAGTCACCGATGAAGAGCAATGTCAAAAACAGCTTGCTTTTGAGTCTCTGCGAGTGTCTTCTATGCTATACTCACTTTTTTGTTTTAAAAATATTAGAAACTCTAAAAATTTTATCAAAAAGTTTACTAAATGTTTCAGTGTGACCCACATTGTATAAATTCCACACCTATACGAGACATTTGGTAAAATTTTTGAGATCTCTAACTTTACTCTTTTCGCTTATAGTGATAGTTGCTTTGAAAGAGAAATTTTTACCCTATCTACATAAAAAAATTACTCGCTTTGAGAAATTTTTATATGTCAATAAGGTATCATGTGACACTACTTTCTACCAATCCACAAATGCATATTTCCCTATTATTTTCCAAACACCCAACATAAATGTAGTGGACCTTACTGTCAAAATCAATCACAATAATAAAAAATATCATATGACATATACCCTATCTACATAAAAAAAAAAAAAAAAAAAAAAAAAATTTACTCGCTTTGAAAGGATTGAATAGCTTCCATTGTAGTAGTATAGTCGACGTTGACATTAGGCTTAGGAACTTAATTGATGTAATTAGAAGATGATGAATTATAATGAAATTTGAGTGAATATCAAATAGTGAAAAGCTTAATTTGTCCTTTATGCTGTGTTTGGTTGGGGGATTTGGGGAGGAATTTGGAAAAGGAAAGGGAAAAGGTGTGTAAAACTATGTGAAATATAGATATATTTTTTTCACATTTCACCTACCTTTTCCATTTCCCATTCCAAATCCCTCTTCAAATCCTTCAACCAAACACAGCATTAATGTATTATGGGTTAAGATTGGGGATGCAAGGTTATACTGACCTTGGTTTGTTCTACTATTTTGGCCCAGGAATTTAGATTAGCCAAAAAAAAAAAAAGAAAATGAACAACGAGTTTATGGAAGAATGTATGCACTCAAGCCTGCAAAACCTATAGGCTAAACAATCCCTTATTAATTAACAAAAGATGGTGGTGGTAAATTACACTTTGAAAAAATATCATAATCCCCATACTTTTAACATAATTACATTAATCTCTCTAAAGATTTTAATTCATATAACACTTACCTTTTTCATCAGTAATTTGTTGATCATGTGGATGAAAATATGATATCGCCATTTTTTTTTTCTATTAAAACCTATATTTACCTTTGTTTATTTCAATCTCTACCTACTTTTGGTATTATTTCAGTTGCTTTAACCTTGCTTAAGAGGAGATTGTGTAATTATGCAAAACTTATGAGAATTATTATATTTTCCACAAACCCCAATGTTTAGAAAGTACCAAACTGATTTGTACTCAGAAGTATGTTTGGTAAAATAATAAATAATTCAGATGAAAAAATAAAAATAAAAGCATCGTGAAATGTTGGGGGAAAAAAAGGCAAAAATATGATGAGAAATTTGGCAAACTGTGAGTTGGCCATATGGAACTAGGGAAATTTGGTTTTACTGAATAAAAATTTGTTTCAAATACCATAGAATTATGTTTCGGATTCATACATGAAATTAGAAGCAATGATAGCAACCCAACTTGCGAAACAAAGTCAAAGCCATTGCTAAATTTCCCATTATTAGGAAATTGAATCGATAAACTGTATCTGGACAACCTTTCAATGTAATATCCAACATAAGTGGATTGGTTTATGTAGCAAATAATGAGTAACCCTGCAATAAACACGGACAACACCGCGTTGTGTTCCAATGTAAAGCTCATAAAAGGCATCTTGTTCATAGCTTCTGTAGCCAAACATGACTTACAGATAAATGGAGATTTTTCCGGGATACAAAGTGCTCAATCCTTCTTGTAAACTAACGTCGGGTATTCTGGACTCCACATGTTGTCCTTCACATATGTTACAATTTCCTCCTGCATATTTTGGACAAATAAATCAATACGAAAGTTAGAGTTCTAGAACTCATCTGAATATCTTAATTTAAACGAAAGCCAAACAGTTTCCACATGACAAACTTCAAGCCACCATGCTGTTAGAAAGCATTTGAACTACCAATAGAACAACTTCAAGGTCAACGTCATTTTACATAAAAAGCCAAAAAAACACCAAATAAGCAAACTCCAAACCACCCCTAAAATACCCAAAAGCATAAGTCAAACAAATTATCAAAGTTTTAAAATGATTCTAAGTACGTTTTGAAGGTCTTTATCACCTCTAATATATTTTCTTTTGATAGAAAAAAGGATAAAACAAACGAAAAAGCACAAATGTTGCATTGCCCATGTACACTCAATGGGTGGTAAGGGATGGTCATTTTCCCCCGCCCCGCTCCACACCCACACCCGCATCCGCATCTCCCACCCCGCACGGATTTTCTTGGCCTTGATTAAGAAATGGGATGGGGACGGGTTTTGCTTCCCCTGCCCCGCTCCACCCGAATCCCGCCCTAACTATATTGATTAAATATATTTATATATTTAATATATATAATTTATTTATTTATTTTTCATTATAATAAAGTTAAAACACTAAAATATTATACTTAATATTAATTTTTATTCATTTATTTTCTATCTTATATAATATAATTTTTATTAATATTTTCATTTTTCAACTTACAAAATTAATCTGTCACCCCCCGATTTGCCCCGCCCCCGATATGATATGGGGCGAGGGTGGATTTCTATAAACTCGCCCCAAACCCGACCTATAACAATCCCTAAATGGTAAATTGGGTTTCTAAGCCACTAAGAAGCACGAACAAGGACACAAGCATAGATAAAGACACGGATACGATGGGGATACAACAAAAAATAATAATAATAATTTGCTACGTATATAAATATATATTTAGAGCATAGAGATATGAAAGTCATCGATGTATATATGGGTTTATTTTTATTTTTTTCCACTTCCCTCTCTTTGATTCCATATATTTTACTTTAACCAAAGTCAACTTCCTAAAATTATAAAAAAACCTAAAAAAGGTGTTTTGAGGTGTGTTTAGACATAGAGCATGAGTTTCTATGAAGTGTCCCTATATGTCTTGCAAAATATAACAATTAAAAAAATGGCATGCCATGTGGCGTGTTCGACACTTGGACACACTTGTTTGACACATGGACATGAGTGTTCACAACGTTTCAATGAGACACAGGCACAACACTTATTTTGGAGTGTCCATGATTCCTAACTAAGCCTACCATTTGATGTCTTTATTATTATTATTATTTTTTTTGGGTGGGTTAATTTTATTATTATTATTATTATCATTATTGTTATTATTTACCAACAAAAAATTGATATCTCATTTTAACTTCAAGCACAAATGAATAATATACTAGGAACTTCTACAAAAACTTTTTGAACATAAGTTAATCCTACATTCCTGAGAGGTGCTCAAACCTCAAACACCCATTAATTATTAATTACCATCTAAAGAGTTTTTTTCTTTGATCAATATGCAGTTAAGCCTTGCATTCCAAGTAAAGAGTCGTATAAAAGGCTAACTTTTTTTTTTGTTTTTTTTTTTAGTCAGTTTTTTTTTTTTTTTTTTGATTGGCAAAAGTCAGTTTTTAGTTTTTAGATTAGTGCCTATGGGAGTTAGCCACCCCACTCTTACAAAGCACCACGTGCTTGTCCCCTAATTCAACTCCCCTTAAAGAGTGTTGAACCCATGACCTCCCCCTTGGGACTAAGCCCTTAGGATAGTCATGGTGGCCACCTAGGCTAGGCTTAGTTGGTTATGAAAGCCTAACCTTAGCGTCCTCCCTTCCCCACACATGATTTTAGCAAGTGGCAACCCCATCGGGCTATTTTGGCCACAACATGCTCCAGAGAGCAATCTTATTCTTCTTTTACTAATTGGATTTGGTTGTATTGAATTTAAAATTATTGACATTGATAATGGAGTCTTGTGTTTCTTTTTGTTGTTTTGTTGCTGAAAATCAAAACAAAGGGGGGAGGGGTTTCTTTTTAATTTTACTTGTAGAATTTTTTCCATTTTGAATATTTCTTTCTCTAAATTTAATTTTATGGTTGTATATGTAGAATATTGGGAGCAAGGATCCTCTAGAATGATTTTTCCCTAAAGTTTCCTAGAGTACCACATTGTGTGGTTGAGATTTACTGACAAGTCACATCAATTTTTCTGATGTGACATGCCAGTAAATCTCAACCACACAATATAGTACTCTAGGAAACTTTAGGGAAATTTCACTCTAGAGGATCCTTGGTGGAATATTGGTAGTGATTTTCTATTTGATTTTCCATTGTTTGATTTTTTATGGAAAATTTTTAAAATGCTCTGTAAAAATGCTTAAAGTCAATTACCTAACCTGCTGAGTCGAAATTGAATATTTCAACAGGCCCTTTTTGTGAACCGTGGTTTTACTGTGGTTGGAAAACAATTTAATCCACCATTGGTAGATATTTTTTTTCCTAAACTGCTCCACACCAACCTATGCATATCCCTACTTCAATCCATTGATTTGCAATTTTTTTCTCCATTGCTCAGTTATGTGATATTCCCCCTACTTAAAAAAATTAAAAAATTAAAAATTATTTAATTTAAATGAACATATAGCCTTTGACATAATGGAATGGCAAAAAAATGATTTATGTAACTGCCCTAACTGATCGGGGTTCGGTTTCAATTAATCATTTAGTCCATGGAAAATTGCTAAAATTTAATTGTGTTGAATAGTGGATAAATTAATGTGAATAAAACGTTTGAATTGTGAGGTTGAGAAATCATAAATAAGATAATTCATGGGATACCAAAATATCACACTAGTGTTAGGAAAGTAGAATTCGGTTGCCTGGTCCTGGCAGGTAATCCTTAATACTCCAACATAGGAATACAATTACCATCTCCCCAGGGTATTTTAAGCCTACTGAAAGTTCTCTCGTACACCTGTTGCAGACGAAATACTTGTTTTAATGGATTCTTAACCAGAAAAGTGCTTATGGAAAAATAGCAAATGCCATACATGGACCTATGAATCACGCAAATTCCAATAAATGCATGCTTATGACTCACGGACGACCTAAAAATGAATCAAAAAGGAAAAAAGAAGCAGCATTGACAGTTGAAATGCCAACTTATTACACATTGGCACCATTGCCAACTGCTACATGGTGTAGTGTCACCATGCCACACATAGAGGGTTCATTCTTTACTATGAAGCACGGATACTCCGAAATAGGTCACGTATGCGTATCGACCTAAAAATGAATCAAAAAGGAAAAAAGAAGCAGCATTGACAGTTGAAATGCCAACTTATTACACATTGGCACCATTGCCAACTGCTACATGGTGTAGTGTCACCATGCCACACATAGAGGGTTCATTCTTTAAGAGTTAAGGGATGTTCCTCAAATTGATGCCTCCACAGGTATGTTATTTGAAGAGTAAGCCTTTGACACCACAGTTCTGACCTAAGCATTCTAGAGCATGATGTCTCCCTAGGTGGAATTAGGGGTGTCATAAAATACCAGTGGAACTGGTAATTGGATCCAATTCGGATCAAAACAATGGTTTGGACTGGTTTTTATTAGCTTTGGTTCTGGTTACAGTTTCGAAAATGGTAGAACTATTAAAATTAGTCCGGTTCCCCATTCTAAGGCTTTGGTTACAGTTCTGAACCGAACCAAACCATGATATATTTGTTTATTACTTTTTAACATTTTTTCATGTAAAAATAAGAATAATAGAAATTACTAGTAAGATTTGAACCCTAGTTCTCATTGTGAAAATGACAAGCTCCAACCAACTTAACTGAACTAATTATTATCAGTTTATTTACTCTTATAAAATACATATCATATTTCTTGTTACATAAAAATTCTAGAACCGTAGAACCAAACCAGTTTTTATGGTCCGGTTGTAGTCCAGTAACATAGGTTTAACAGTTCAGTTACGGTTTCAATGTTTTTGGAAAAGCGGGGACCGGTTCGGTTCCTGGTTTATTCTAAACCCAAACTAATCCAATCCGTGAACACCCCTAGGTGGAATACAAGGCCCATGGGAACCCAATGGTGCTAGGTAATGCCAGACACATGATCCCTTCAGAGGTTCAAAGCATGGTTACTGGTGGAGGAATATTCAGATGAATTGGTCTGTGGCTAGAGTAGGGAGCTAGTTCTGTTACCTATGTTCCATGGCCTCACCTAAAGTCCCAGAGCACACTTCAGCCTTTCCAGAAACAAAGAGGCACCACTGATGTTCCCATGATACATGCCGCCTTCAGCACGGTATATACCTGTATATTGGCTTTCAAGGACACAGCCCAATTCTCTAGGCTGACAGGATGGAAGCATGAACCCATGTTTCTATTAGGCGTGAGTTCAATCCATTTTGTCCACTACTCCCTCAGGGACACTATCTAAAGGTTGAGGAACCCATTTTCATGGGCTAATCTTCCTTGTGCCCGTGCTTCTTAGACACTATCTGATAAAGAATCAATGTCCACTAACATGTCCTAAAAAACCCTTGCATTGTGCTCTAACCCAATAACCTATAGAAGTGAAAAGAAGACAATTCCACAAAGCCTTTGATTTCTTGTTGGTGCTGAAAGCTCTACTTAATTGTAACTATGATTCTTATGCTATGGAATGCGGTTATTGAATTTTAATCAGTGTCCTGTTGTATAATTGCATTATTTCATTATATTTGAATGAAAATATTCAAATATATGACATAATAAATATATAAATTTATATATTTTTGTGCGTGACCCTCGCGTGTTGTGTCCTATATTTTTTAAATTTTTGTGCGTCGGTGTGTCCATGTCTTGTGATTTATCCGTGTTAGTATTCCTTAGCCTATGGATCAGTGGATGGCCTTCTGGCGTCCCTACTGCTCTTTATCCCAGCTCTCACACTCCACTTTGCCTTTCTCTAATTTGGCCCAACTAATCAGGACTCCACTGCATGTATATCACCATAAAGAATACCACCAAAATGCAAAAGAACATAAATTTGAACTGAGTTATTGCGCTAAGAATTAAATAAATGAAAAGACCTGAGTAAGTTTCCGGAGTTCTCGGGCATCCATTTCACGGTATCCCTCTGCCAGATCCTCTTCTATAGCTTCCTTGATCACAGCAGCAGCTACCTCCTTTGTTATATCACGTATTCTGCATTTATTAGAAAGATCAAGACACGACTACAAAGCATTTCAACCAAAGCTATGCAAACTGCTAAGAAATTCCTAAGATTTGTACCTCGATGTTGAAGGAAATATAATTCCCTTATGAACCTCCTCCTCTGTCATATATGCAGCTAGGCTGTAGTTTTGAAATGAATATCGACGAAATAAAAAATATGCAAGTTAGTGGGTTAAAGTATCTCTTTCCAAATTGAAATATTCTTATAAATTATGTCCATAATCATGCCCTAGTTATTATGCGCATATGCAATCAATTAACCAAGTGTAAATAGATTACTAAAAATATTGCAATATGAGAATAATTCCCAAAATACTCCAAATGGTTTCAAAATGAGAACATATGCCAATTATGATCTCAAACAGCCTTCTAAACTTTTTTTAACATATTACATTTTTTTATTTGGGATTTGCCACCTCTACCCTTGCCAAAATCCATGTAGGTCATGGACAGTAACCTTGAAATTGGGTTCATTCAATTGGGGTCTAGTGAAGTTATTCCTAATGGTGACCCTTCGAGCCATAGTAGTGAGTTTGGGTAGATTGAGACAATAGGAATGGAGTCCATGTCAGATCATTTGGGATTTACCACCTCTGCCATTGCCAGAGAACATTGAGGTCGATGGATGGTGACCTCAACATTAGGGTGATTCAGGCGGGCTCTAGTGAAGTTGTTGGTCATGGGGGTCATTTGAGCAGTAGTACCGATTTGGGGAAGACTCAGACATTATGAATGGGAGTCATGGACATAACAAGGTCCATCTACCATCAGTTCTGCCAGACCATAGAAGTATCATAAGATTCACTTTATTTAGTATAACATATAATTATATAAATTTATATACACATAAAAATACACATATAGTGTTTAAAATGCAATAAATATCAATATAACTAAATGTATATACATACAAAATCACTTATATCTATACAATTAGTTAAATCTTTTTTTATTTATTATTATTTTGTGAAAACGACGCCGTTTCATGTATTCTACAAACAAACTAGAATCTCCTGAATCGCAGTAAATCGTAGTGGATCGCAAAAGAAATAGTAAGGATTACTCAATTTAAGATTCAAATACACGAATCGAATCGTTTTGCTTGAAAATCATATCGAAGCATATGAATCAAATCGTGAATCGTAAAATCCTAACCACCATGATTACACCCAAACGAAAATTCAGATGCAGTTCAATCTTTTTGCATCTCGGTACACTGTCAACCTACCTGTCAAGCAGTTTGGTCGACAGGACCCTAAACATGCAAATATGCATACTTGTTTTTTGGTATTAATCCAAATCTCTTCTAACAAAATCAGAATTACAGTTTACCATCGTGTACGGGTTTGTTCATAATAATTTTTAGACCGAGATCTGAAATAATTGAGCGGAATAATTTTCACATCCTAAAACTGTTATGGCATTGATTTCAAGAATTTTATTTGGAAAAGTAGAATGAAGAAGTACCACTCAGCTGCTGCCTGTAACATGCCGTCAGAGATGATCCTAGAGCCAGATAGAAGGGTACCAAGTCCAACCCTGCATGATCAGGTATGTGGAAAATTGGAATATGGGGAAAAAGAGAAAAACATATTGAACCCATAGTTCTTGCAAAGAGTGAAAATTTGAAACTAACCCAGGAAAAAGGTACATGTTGTTTCCTTGGTTGCAGTGGCCAATATGACCATTTCCTGTGGAATTTGAAGTTAGTCAACAAAACAATTATAGTTATATGATTATAATTTTACAAATTTGCATTTAGTAAGTTCCCTAATAACAATGCACCAGGCATTCCAAAATTCTTTAGATAGACATATATATATATATATATATCCACAGATCAGCAAAATGAAGCTAAACCTCACATTTTAAAGTAGAACGGTGAAGCAACTTCAAGGTCAAAAATTTATTATAGCAATGGAGCAAAAGAGTAGAAGGAAATCTAATTCTGAGGCCACCATGTGAAAAGATATCAGATGAATTGTTCAGCCTCCAAATTGCTTCCAGTGGCTTTAAAAAGAATAGAAAAGAAAATATAGAAATAAAATAAAAAAAAACAACAAAAACAAATTGAACAAAATAATAAGCATGCATAGCTAACCATTTGCAAATATTCAAATGCTTTCATATTCAGATGCAATATCAGGGTAAATTCTTTTGGGTGAAGAGAAGGACAAAAAAATACACAATAAATTAAAACCGAAGATCATGCTAGAAAATAAGGAAAAGTAAATCCGAATTGGGCTTCCCAAACTGTAAACAGAATCAACTACATTCAATGGAATGTAAGAATTCACCTGCCTGCCCATGGATATCAATGTTGTAGAGAGATGGGAAAAACAAGTTCACCTCCCAAACAGTGGTATTTGTCTCATTAATGTCATCAAAACAAATTAATAGGAAACAACAGTTGAAGCATAAGCAGCAAAATCGTATTTCAACAGTCGTCAATTGTCCTATGCATAGCCTCTTCATATATCTGTTTCAACCCCAATATGGATGCAAAAGAAAATAGATAGAAGGATATGACAGTGCAGAGACACATTTAACAAATAAGTTACAACACGTACCGAGATCCACATCTCTAAATGGGCTTCCACTTGCAAATATAATATTCTCACCCAAAATGGAAAATGCTTCATCGGGGGTGCACTCAGCTGTCAAAAAGTAATTTAAGATAAGCAAGAATGGCCAATTTAGGTCAGAATTATGAACCAGTATAAATGAACATACCATTTTTTGTAGGGTTTGACATTGCGAAGATTGCTGGTCTAGTTGAAGTTGAACATTTAAGTGCCTCTAATACCTAAAAATATAAGCAGACAATTTCATTTTAGCAAGAACTACATCAAATAACATTGAACCAAAGTCTGAATTGAATTAATACATATGATTCCACCAATGACCTTTTTTATCATCTTGCAGGCATGTGGGTAGTCCAGAGCTCAGCAAGATGTAAAAGGTGTAATACTCAGATTCAAAAAATCAACCATACATTATCAATATTATTATTTTGGTTAAGAGAAAAATGAAGCAGCACAACAGTACTGTAGGGAAGCAGTACACATTGGATCATAGACCTAACTGCCATTCAGTGTTTATCTTGCTGGGTATTATACTTGGACATGCAAAAAATCGATAATTCATTATCAATATTATTATTTGGTTTAAGGGAAAAATTAAGCAGTACAGTACTGCGAAGCAGCACAACACATTGGATCATCGGCCTAACTGCATTTCAATGGTTATCCTTCCTTGCTACCACATCCTCATAAACTCGTAAATAAAGTGCATCTTCCCAAAGACATGCTTGGATAAAATATGTATGAAAATTTCAACGTTCTGTAACCTAATGGAAGTATGAATAAAATAAGGCACAATTCTTAGTACAATCAGGCAAACTGAAGCATCATTGAGAAATCACGACCTTGCAGAAGAGGTGAACAAATATTCGCGCATGTCACAGACTCATGTGCTTGACTTTTTCATGTCATGTCTCCTATATGGATTGCAAGCTGATAAATCACTTTAACATATTCCAAATGGGAAGTCCACGCAAAGATTAACTTTACAAAATTTCCAATAGTCAAGTTGGAACACCCTATTTGGTTGAGTTTTCAGAATCTATTTTTTCTTTTCCCAAAAAGTAGAAACTAGTTTGACTAAAATATACACCAAAAAAATATTTTCAAATTTTCAAAAATTATTTTTGCCCCATAAATGAGAAAACCATTATAAAAATGATGAGCCTTTTTTATTTTTTCATTTTTTAAACCAAGCTCAAAACCAATTATATTGCTGGTATGAATAACAGTCATCAAACATTGGATCCCAGAGACACATGACTATATGAGTCAGTAGTTGTACCTTCTAAAAATGGAAGCTAGAGGATTTAAGTCAATGGTTTTTTTTGTGTTGTCCATGGCTTGAAAGATAAAATTATTAAGAGACATGGTACATGAACAAAACTACAAAGAAACCATTCCAAAACTAGGTTTAACACGCTATCAACACCTAGAAGAAATTAGCGAAAATTACTTGTCAGTGATGTTTTCAAACTTAATTACAAAATCATGGAAATGTATATGATTTTACATATTAATATTTATAAAGAATAACACTGGTTTGAAAATATTTTTTTACCCATACACTGACAAGTAATTTCCCCAAAAATTATAGCACAGCTGATCATAGAATTTCTTGAGTGATTTTAAATTAATACATGAAATATGTAATTACTGATTGGAAAAGTATCTCAATATTTCCTTCATAATGTTGTAACTATGCACTGGTATTAGTTTCCCAGGCCTTTGGTAAGGCCATTTACCATGAAGCAAAGGACCAACTAGATTGGTCAAATGTCGATGATTGATATTAACCAACTAACATATTGCTCAACAATATACAACTGAGTTCGGGTATGCATGATGACCACTGTAGCTTAATAATTAATAGAGAAAAAGATTCCTCCAAGAATTTTAACTATTAACTCATGGATGAATCTCATGTCTTTTTGTATAAGCAAGTTTATTTATATTACAATTAGAAAGTCATCTGATTTACTTCAACCATACCATACCTCTTTCGAGAACAGGCCGCCCACTGCTGACAAACCAAGAAGTACATCAGGCTTTACCTGCCGCACCTGATTAGCAAAGAATGGCAAAAATGTAATTAGTAATGTAACAAGAATAATGAATATTATATTGTCCATAATCCAAAATTCAGAAGTTGTAAGCGTTCCATCACCAAACAAAGGGGGAGAGGCATATTTTCCATTTATCTATGATTCTATAGTAACTCGTCAACTTTGTTGTAGTAAATAATAATAACGAAACTCAACAAGGTAAGTTCTCTAAAATGTAAATCACTCAGACAACAAGTGTGAACAGACTCCCATTTTTTCTAAACAGGACCAAACAATTGACCTATAAAGTGCTTGAGATTGAATTCTTCTAATATTAACATGTTTAGTACAGACACAGCTCCCTTCTAGAAGAATCTAGAAGAATTTGTGCTAAGTAATGCAATCTCTTCATTAACATGTATTAAAGAACATCTATCACTTAAGTAGAAATCCAATCAAAATCAGTTGCATGTACTGATGGTCACATGCCAAAACAGAATCACAATAATACACCACAAGAAAGTAAGAGTTTACCTATAATAGCATAAAACAACATTAGTATTAAAAATTAATTGGGATAATGCGTCAGATAATTTACTTACCACTTCCACAAGGCTTGCACCTTCCCTTAGTCCTTGACGACCAGCTTCTTTCACCTTCCTTGCAAATGGCAAGGCATCTGGATCAACATTTTCACGCTCCTCGGTGATCAAGCCCTGGTATCACACAAACAATGATTCATTCAGTTACAAATCTCTCTGGTGGACAGAAACCTCCTCTAACAGGGCAACATGATAAAACTATCCATGCAAAGACTATATTCACTTCGAACCAAAGAACATCAAGAAAAGAATAGATTGCTATCCTTAAAATATGAATATTTTGATGGACATGTAGCAAGATACTGATTTGGAGAAATTATTAACAAAAGCATAAATATAATGGATTATATCAATATATTAAGGTCTTGAAATACATTTATATCAATGGATATATTGCAAATATTGTGCGTACCCATGCAACCATAAACAGGAAAAAGACCTGCAGTGTAAGGTGGTACTAACTGCCTCGATATTAGTGCTGTGAGACAAAGTACTTAGAAAGTTTAACTAGAAGATTTGAAGAGTTCCCCAGACACGGACAAATTTTTGTAAAGCCCCTACATGGCTTGTATTAATCACCACAAAAGAATTTAATTCGTGAGTGAAAAAAAACAAAATGAGTAGTTAACATACTGCTATCGAAATTGATGTAGAATGTGGTAACATAGGGAAAGGAGAGAGAACACACAACTTTGGCCACAGACTATTCTCATGTTAATATACTCTCAAAACTGAATAATACAAAGTAAAGCCTAATATTTATAGGCCCTAACCATAATTAGGGGGTGTTTGGGAAGAGGGTTGGGTTAAAATAGTCCACTAAAAGACAAAATAGGTTAAAATAGCCTGTAAGACAAAATGTCACATCCAACCCATAATCATTTCACTTTTTCTCTCACAACCATCAAATCAACTACAAAAAAAAAAAGCCAACCAACTTTCCCAACACAACTATTTTAGTTAGGCTAAAATAGCCAAAAAACCAAATAGCCAACTTCCCAAACAAGGCCTTAAATTAGGAAATTAGTTCCTACCGCCATTTGGAAACATAATCAAACATTCTAAGCAAATATTAATTTAAATCCTAGCTAAATAATAATGGTAGTAATGACAACAGCACCAGTAGCAGCAGCAGCAATAATAATAATAACCTTTTTGTGGTTACAAAGACAAAAGTAATACTTATAGGCTGTTGGCCCAAACTGGCCTGACAAACAGTGAACTACAGCTTTAGGAAAATGTTACCACTTGATGAAATAACTCACCTTAGCATCAACTAACCAGAATTGACTCCGAGCACTCTCAAAAGCATATTCATTATTTCCTAACATCCTTGCCATTGTTTTCCTAGCAGCATTGAGAACCCCTATTCCTGCACTGCAGTAGCACAAAATTTAGCAGGCTAGTCTCTCTACCATGAACTGAAACTGGAAGTGCTATAATGCCAATTCATGTGCTAGTGATCCATTTCAGATGTACAAGAAGGGTGACACTATGTGTGATTAAAAATAAAGGGGTAGGAGAAAAATAAGGAAGTAGGAGAGAGAATATAGAGACAGAGTATTTGATTGGTGTAAAAATTATTGACAATCCCAAAGGGACAAAGGTCCTTTCAGCTTAATATATAGTTTTGCAACATGTAGTAATAGATTTTATCATTAGTCAACCAATTGCCCCAAAACCTTGAGTTGATAAGGAATCGGAAAAATTATATTCATCAAGCTATCACACTATCCATTGCATGCAAACCAAATGAGTGAGAAGCGTAAACATGCAAAGTGCAAACAAAGAGAACACATGGACAAACATAGTGGAGAGATGATTGGATACAAACGGAGAGATTTAAACACAAGACCTCCTTGAATAAACATCTAATACCATGATAGACAACCAACCCACAAAAGCTTAACCGACCAGGGAATGGATCAAAAAGTAAATATCAAATTCACGCAGGTACAATACAAAATGTCTCTCTACAAAACAAATATCATATATTTGGCTTAGTTTGGTTTGGCTACTAAAAGGTAGCACAGAAAAGCATAGCAAAGAAATTTAGTCCACAAGCAAGTCAGAACCTTATCCCAAACCAAACCAAACTTTAAGTCTCATCAAATGTAGTCGGCTACAAGAATCATTTTTCTCCACTCGACTCCATCTAAAGGCTATTTCGTTAAGTCAAATTAAGGAGACTCATGTCTCTATTTATTACACTAGCCCACGTCAATCTAGGTCTGCCCCTTCTCCTAATACTTCCATCTACCGTCATTGTATCGCATCTCTTTACTACTATCTCTGTTGGTCTCCGTTGTATATGACCAAACCATCTCAATCTATTCTTTCTCAACTTATCTTCTATCGGTACTACTCATATCCATTCTCGAATATACTCATTCCTAACTCTTTTCTAGTCTTACCACACATCCATCTTAGCATCCTCATCTCAGTAACACTCATCTTATCTACATATTATTTCTTAGTTGCCCAGCATTCTGTCCCATATAACATCACTAGTCTAATAGCCATTTTATAGAACTTTCCTTTTAGTCTAGTAGGTACTCATTTATCGCACAGTACCCCAGATGCACTCTTCCACTTAAACCAACCCCGCATTAATTCTCTGGACCATATCCACTCCAATCTTCCCAGCCGTTGAGATAATCGATCCAAATAACGAAAATATTCACTCTTAGGTAGTTCTTGGTTCTCAATCTTTACTTTTCCTCTGCTTCCATTGCTACTATTACTAAAATTACATTCCATGTATTCTGTCTTAGTTCTGCTTATCCTAAATCCTTTGGATTCAATTGTTTCTCTCCAAGTCTCCAACTTAGGCCCCGTTTGTTTTCAGAGGTAGAATGGAAGGGATTCATAATGAATGGATTGTTAGTGAGGGGATTAAGTAAAATTGTGTTTGTTTTAATGATAGTTGTTAGTGTAGGAATTGTTAAATTATTTTTATATAAAATAATAAAACAAATAAAAAAAAATTAAACATTAATATTTAAAAAAAATTCCCAATATATAAAAAATAAAAAAAAATTTTAATCCCCTCACTATTTTTCTAATACCATCTCCATCTCCTCCGTCTCAATCCCCCTTCCAACCTCCATCTATATCACCTCCTCCATCCTAATCTCCTTCCCAACTCTACAAACAAACACAACACTAAATAACCCCACCTCCATCCTAATCCCCTCCCATCTATTTAACCCCAAAACAAACGGGGCCTTAGAGTTAACTCCTTCTCTAATCTCATCCACTAACACGATATCATCTGCAAAAAACATACACTATAGCACATCATCCTAGATATTTCTCGTCAACTCATCTATAACTAAAGCAAAAAGATAAGAACTTAATGTTGATCCTTAGTGTAACCCTATAGTAATTGGAAATCCACTTGTCTCTGCAACAAGCAATCTAATAGTGTCACCACACCTTCATACACATCTCTAATCACATCAACGTAACCTTTTGTCACCCCTTTCTTCTCTAGCACCAACCAGATTATATCCCGAGGCACTCTATCATATACTTTCTCAAGATCAATAAGAACCGTATGAATGTCTCTTTTCTTTTCTCTATACTTGTCTATAACTCTCCTCAAAAGATAGATCGCTTCCATTGTTGACCTACCAGGCATAAACCCAAATTGATTCTCTGACACCTCTGTTATATCTCGCAATCGACGTTCCATCACTCTCTCCCACACTTTCATTATATGACACATTAGCTTGAAATTATAAGTAATTAAAACTCAACTTAGCTACTTCTACCAATATGGCATCAGCACCATGAAGATCCTACTTTTAAGGTCCAATAGCCAAATAAAACATAGGACTTCATTTCTTTTCATGCTCCAACAAATTTCCATTTTTTTCCCCCTGGTTGGCCTTCTCCACGTATTTTATAATGTAGCGATGCCTAATTTTTCTTGGTTCAAAACAAAATGCAACTAGCAAACCTTCCAGCCCCAGCAACAACAATCTTCTGCTTTGGGAAGTCAATCATTGGCTTTCCTTGTGCTCTTACAGCTCCTAAAAGACCAGCAATTGCAACTCCTGCTGTTCCCTGCAATATAAATGGACACTAATACTAGTCAGCATGAATAATTGTAAGCCTAAATGTCAAACTAATACTATAATGTATCCGTAAATACCAAAAGTGAATGAATGATGTTTTAACACAAAAACTTCAAATAGTCGGATAATTTTCTTTGAAGTCTGCAAAAATATTAAAAAATGCACAACAGTTACTAGTGTGAAACCTAGAGGTACAACCCATGGTTTAGAGAACAGATAAAACACCAAAAATCAAATATCTCTTAACTAAGCTGATGACGTAAGCAAGAAAAAAGAAAAGGGATAATTGAAAGTAAAGTTTACCATATTGGTTTTCATGCCTGATTCATAAACTGTTTTTTATCCAATAACAATAAACAACAATTATACAATTGAGAGTCAGAACAATACAGTATTTATGTGTCTGTATGTTAAGCTTCACAGCATTTCAGCCAATTTTTACAATTGTGAAACCCATGGTTTTGAAAAAAGGCCATTACAGATTGTATTGGTCGTTACTTAATAGGATTTTAGGGGTCCATTTAGGCTGATCATTTGTTTTGGTTTAATTGGTAAATCAATATGGAGGAAACAAGGAACTTTGTAACAGAGCGTGCCATTAACTAATGCATAGAAGCTCACCAATTAATTTAAAATGGCATGTCAGCTCCTCATGGTTACTGAAATACTAGAGAGTAGTATCAATTCATAAGTTAAATCAGTCGGCCACGGCTGCAATTGCCGTGAAAAAGTGTGCAATCGGTTGGCAACGGTTGCAAGAATATATGAATTGCCTCAACCAAACCGACTGCAGGTCAAAATTAAAGATATTTATGAACAAATGACTTCATTTTATTGGCCACCAGAGATTATACTTATCAACTCATAACAAATTAAAACCTTACACATAGTTTTATGAATTGATGAAATTATCTCTACAAAGAGTTACATGGTACATCAAAGAATCTTTATTGACTCTGTCTCTAGACTTGTTCAGTACATTTACACATTACACTGAGAGTCAATCTTTATTGACTGTCTCTAGACTTTCCAATACATGAAGTCCTAACCTCTCCTCCATTACAGACTCGTCTATCCATCTCTCTCTCTTCCCATTAAACCCCTCCCTCATGTTCTTTCTAACCCTTTCTTCGATCTCCCCTGCTAGAAACCCCTTCCTCCCCTTCAATTCCCCTCCCTCAAAAATCCCGATGGTGTGCCAATGCAAATGATTCCAGAAAAGCATTGGTGGAAGAGCAATAAGCATTGTTGTTTGATGGTGGTGGCGACACTCTAAGAAGCACAAACATGGACATGTGACAAGCAAAATTTCAAAATATGTAGGGACACGACATGTGAGGGGTACGTGCAAAATATATAATTTTATATATTTATTAGGGGTGGCAACGTCAACCCAAACCCATTAACCCGCCCAAATCTGCCTATTGTTTCGCTGGTTTGGACTTATATAATTTTTGTGCGAGTCAGAAATGGGTAATCTATTTGGGCTTCTTATTTTTCACGGGTTTACATGTGCGGGTTTACTTGGGTAACAATCGGGTATTGTCAGGTCCTGACTATGAAGACTTGTTGAGCCGCTTATGAAGTCTTGTTGGGTTCAACTAGAATGCTTAATGCACAGGTCTTCAACTAGAATGCTTAATGCACAGGTCTTGAACCTGCACCAAATGCAATAATGCTGTGAGAAGATAACAATTGATCTGGAACATTTAATGCTATAATATTTGCATAAAAAAATATTTATATCAATGTTGTTTTGCCAAAAAAATATTAATAATAATTAAGCCACAACCTAATATCATTTAACAATTGTTACTTACATAAAAAAACAAAAAACTTGCTTTGATTGATATTTAATAGGGCATGATTCTTAACACCCCCCCTATTGGCTTTTTTGGCTTTCGAAGGTTATTGTTGTAATTGTGAGCGTGCCAACAAGGATCAATCAGTCCTTACAGAATATTAATTGCCAACCAATTATCAGACGATTGTGTTTTACTTCTTTCAGCCTCAATGAAGAGGACTTTTACAGGTGACTTTGTTTAGGAGAATTAAGTAAACAATGATTAAATGAAGAACAATTGTAGCATTTCATTAAGTAAAATGAAAGACTTACAAAGATCCAAATCAGCCTCGTAGAGGTTTACAACAACAAATTACTTGAAACTACTCCTATGAACGAAATGCAGTGCAAGAATTTGAAGTACAGAAATGTAAAGAACAAGAAATGTAAAAACTGGAAGGAAAAATAAAGTAGATAAAACTGGTTTTTTGGATCTAAGTCTGGGGGTCTTTCTGGGGCCTTCTCTGCTATTTATACTTCTCAATGACAACCGTCGAAATGCATTTCTAACCGTCGAATCATCCCTCCATGATCGCCGATGATGCTACCTTACAGTTAGCTCTACTATGCCATATTTGCAATTAGGATTCCCTCATGATTTTTGAATTTAAATATGAGTAACCGTTGAAGCCACGTCATTTTGCATCTCTTTGCTAATCCAGTGCTATGCAGATCCACAATAACCAATACTAACTGCCACGTGTGTAATTACGATTGAAGATTTGAATTATCTTCCCGTATTGCCCTCATCCTGCCACGTGTCGAACTGTGATTGGCTTATACAAAATATGTAACCAACATTACCCCCGCACTAATATACCCAATACTTGGTGATATTAGTGGATCAAGGTATTTTACCCACGTCTTAGAACGTGCATGGGCTTTGCATTTTTCAGAAATGCAACCGTCATTCATCAATGAAACATTTGCATTAAATTCTCTTCTAATCCTTGACCATCCCCACTATCTCAGTATTCGAAAAGACTGATACATCTTTTATGGCCAATCCAATCTTCTCTTACATTGATCAAGCATACGAAGAGTTATTTGATGATGTTGTTCGTCCTCGAAAGAACCTTCATGCATTGATTAGCCACCTTTATCCACCTCCATTTATACAAGTTATGGAAGCTTTCACAAATCACCGGCCTTCGAACCAAGAACCTACTGTTTATGATTATTTGGAACACAAATTTGCAATTATGGATATTGGAAGCTTTTCTTCTTTTTCTTCTACGACCTCTGGTTGGAGAACTTGGCCTACCCCTACTCAACCTCAAACGAGGGAACGCATTCATCATCGATTCCCAGAATTCGATGACTCTCTTGAAATCCCTCCTTCCAAATGCAGTTCTGTAGTATATCCATATGTTCCTATTGACCACATACGCAGTCTTGAGGACAATCTACTTTCATCATGGTATACTTCTACCTTGCCATCTCAGATGGTTCAAAGTGTCCAACGTCCTGGTGAGAGATCAGTCCTGCGATTTTAGCCAAAAAAGCAAAACTTTATACCTCCGATTGGCTAGAATGTGTAGCCAGACCTGAATTCCTAGATTCAATCGGGGAACCTCCGACTACTCCTCCTTTGCCTTCCCTCCTTATCAGCAGTTTAGAGCTCAGACCTTACTTGCTGCTTTCTCTCATTTAACTTTTGAAGTCCTTCGAGATGACATTCCCTACAGAAACTTTCTATGAGCTTGTGACATTATGTCTCAAAGTCATCTTCTCAACCCCGTGGCCCAAATAGAACTTTATACCTTTTTAGACCGACTTCCTCTCCTGCTCAACTGGCACTTCCAAGCTTCCATTACCAGTGAAGTTCTGGATGAAGCCTTCTCTGCTCGAATTCAAGTTCAATATAAGGCAGAGAACCTCCTTGATGAATATGAGGCCTTCAAGAACCAGGATTCTGAGCATAGGGAGGATGTTGCAATGAACGAAGTGCATGAAGAAGAGGAGATGGATGCTACAGATAAAGCCCTAAAACAGATAGAATTTGAAATGAAAGCCCAACAGCTCTCTTCTCAATTAAGGGCTTATCAATTAGATAAACCAAACTTGAACAAAATAGAGGATAGAGTAGGAAAAGAGTATTCATTTATTGAATTTTGTTGGACTAAATTCCATGACCTTGTAACTTTGTCCATTCCATATTTCTATGAAATTGAGAATGTAATCAAATGAAATAGTACTTATCAATAGAGCTAAGTTTTTCGAATTTCATTTGTCAGATTCTGATTTACCACTCCAATTAACTTAATCTGTATGGTTGATGTGCTTTAACTGTGTGAAGTTTTCCCTTGAAGAAAACAATTATTGCCTCTCATACTGATTCTAGGACCAACATAATTCTTCAGCCATCAGTTTCGAATTAACCAACTTTGTCTTTCGAAACTTGATTTGATCACATTCAATGAAATACTTGAAGTTCAATTTGAACTTTTCCATCATATGGAATGTAATTGACAACTTTTGCCGGTTTCCTTTCAGAATCAAAGCTTCAAATTTATCATTTTGCCCTTCGAAACTTGATTTGATCATATCCAATATGGTTAATACAATCAAGTAATTTCAAATCAACTAATTTTGTTTCAAACAAACAGTCTACATTTTCCAAAATATGGAAACCTCTTTTAAGGACTACACTGTTTTATTCTAAAAAAGTGATTTCTTCTGTGTATTATCAAACCAACTATTGGTTTGAAACTTAAAACAACAATTTCTAACCTTAAGGTATTGCTTCGAAGGATTTTACTGTTACTGACAAACCTAAAAACAGGTCCTTAATCCTTTTGAAGTAAACAAATACTTGAGTATTCTTGCATCCTTAGGTATGGAATGTGCTTCGAAGTCGACTTCCTGCCTTCGAAGCCGTTTGTTATCTGATTTTGGCGCCAAAATTTGGCTTCGAAGCCAAATATTTTATTTCGAAGCTGACATCAGTATTTGAGATGCGTTTCCCTCCATAACTACCAATATTTAAGGCAACTTTTCGCATCCGTACCTTTAGTACTTCATTATGAATTCCACGATTAGGTATATTTTTAGACACAAAGGTTTAAAAACCCTTTTTATTTCGTGTTTTGAATTCACTAGTTTGCCTAAAACACAAACCCTTTTCCCAACTTTGTCTTCTGAAA